TATGCATTAAATTGAGGAAAAGGAAAGAAAATCATGTACAAAACAGCATAAGAACCAGAAGGAAGAGAGATTGAAAAACTTGGAACAACTTAGAATTCAAGGAAATTGTTCCAAGGTCAAAATAACCAACTTGTTTAAAGATAAACAGGAGACTGGGAAAGGTCAATAGTTTGGAAGAAAGAAAAAAAAAAAACTCTAAAAACTGAGGCCATACTGTTCTCCTGCATCAGATACAGTCAACTGAAAACTGAGTCCAGAGTAGAAATTCAACCTGGAAATGGATCGTTAAAAATGGCACATGAGACAAACAAGTTGTTATACCTTCCCCTGCCAAATGTGGAAACCATGAAAATGTTTGACATCAGAGACACCAGAAAGTAAGAAATTATGTATAATAGAGAAAAGAAACAATAAGAATCATGACATATTTTTGTGAATGGTATAAAAACAGGATTTCTGGATAACTTTCTTTGGCTGTTGGTAGAATGAAGTGAAATGAGGCAAAGCAAAGGCACAACAGCACCTAACACAGAGAACTCATTCAATAAAGGATAGCTGAGGGTGTTGGAGAAGACTCTTGAGAGTCCCTCGGACTGTGAGGAGATCCAACCAGTCCATCCTAAAGGAGATCAGTCCTGAGTGTTCATTGGAAGGACTGATGTTGAAACTGAAACTCCAATACTTTGGCCACCTGATGTGAAGAGCTGACTCATTTGAAAAGACACTGATGCTGGGAAGGATTGAGGGCAGGAGGAGAAGGGGATGACAGAGGATAAGATGGTTGGATGGCATCACTGACTCAATGGACATGAGTTTGGGTAGACTCTGGGAATTGGTGATGGACAGGGAAGCCTGGCGTGCTGCAGTCCATGGGGTCACAGAGAGTCAGACACGACTGAACGACTGAACTGAACTGAGGGTACAACTCTTAGTTTATGTTCTTCATCTGATCCTTTAGGACTTAAATCCTCACGTCTCACATAATTTTTTACCATGTTTTCTCCATTCCATGAGTGGTAACCAGAGTGAACCAAAAAAGTTTACTCACATACTTATACAAACACACAGTAATCCCTCATCATTAACATAAATCGACCCACAGATTTTCATTAAAACATTCTCAAGCCTGAAAAAAAAAATTGAACTTTTAACCCACTGCAAGATAAGGGTGGGCTCAGCAAGTGAGATGGCAAGAGCAAAAACCTAATGTGGTGAGTCCATATGAATCTTTATTTTAACTAGATAATCCATTTCATAACCCACCCCCCCAAATCAGTTCTCTTAATGTTTTCCAGAAATCCCACGAATCCTGGCAAAAGATGAAAACATAAATAATCTGGCTTACTAAAGTCTAAAACTGGTAACAAAACAACAAAAAAGTTTCAGTTTAAAGAATGTTTAAAATTGATAGAATTTTGATTTATTTTTTCAGTCTCCTGAAATCTGATGGCTCATCTGTGAGGATATTTTCCCCACACTGCACAGAATTCTGAAACTTATACGTTTATGTACATGATCTACAAGTTATAAAAAAAAAACTATGATTAACATTGTGGGCAGAACTAACCTATAATCAAAATCAGAACTGGTAATCATTTCAACACTAATATACATCCAGCTGATTATTTTGACATGGATTTCCTGAAGAATGACTACATGTCCAAAGCTGAATTCATCTCTTCTTTAAAAACACAAGCTTTTCTTATTTATTTATAATTCTTCTAGTCAGCCAGTTCTAAATTGGGATCATCTTCATTATTTCTTTTTTGCTCCCTACATCCAACCAGTTGCCAAACTGGATTATTCCACATTCACAATGTCTCTCCATTTATTCTACTTTTTCTCATTTCTACTGATACAGTATCTGATGTCTTTTGCTAGCATTGTTCAGTGAATTATGTAACACTGGAATTACAGCTAAAAAAGTGAACTCTTCTTGAATGTAGATGGAAGGGTGGAAATGTTCCTTATTTACCCTTTTATGAGAATTATTATGTGAGTACTTATAACTATCAGATTTCATAGAACTAAACACTTAAGATAAATGCATTTATTATTTGTAATTACACATAAATTATTAAAAATTTCTAACACATTTATGGTTATCTTTACATTGTACTTTCCTACATGGGAATGAATGCAAACCAGAATCTTCGAATAACAACGATAAAAATGTTGAAATTACTTTGAAGGTTGAAATGGTGAATGACTTTGCTTATAGATTGCTTCAACTGGGCTGTGAAATAGTGCAAAAAGATTTAAAACCTAATTTGTATTTGCAGACACAATTTCTTTAACATCTGAGATACTCATTTCATTTTAATCGTAAATAGATCATCAGATGCAAAGAGCTACAATTTTTCATTCCTCTAGCTCACGATCTTTTTTTTTTTTTTTTGTCTTTTGGAGATAACAGATTCTGTTGACTTATAGTGTTACCTGATAGAGGATGCAATAAAGTTAAGTAAACATTTACAATTCTAAATTTTATCCTATCCAGGATTTACTATATTAAAAGCTACAAGTTCTGTAGCAAGCAGTTACTGATGACTGTAGATAACACATTACTTAGTTCACTACTGCAGTAAATCTGCTCCTAGTAAAGCAGGGATTTTCCTGGTCTATTATTTAGTTATCTTGTGAATATGATATACACAGAATTTGGTATTCAAATATGATTATTGTTTTCTGTACATGTACACTTATTGGGTCTCTCTAAGAATATCAGAAGTATCACTCTGGAGTTGACATTGCTTTTGTATTTATGCTTTGTGACATAGTCATTTTTTTCTTCAAATTATTTATATTTTCAAGTCAAGTATGCTGTTCATTTCACTTGATACATGTTCTAAACCTGGAACACATTGACACAGGGACCTAAGATATGTGTTTGGTGTCAAGTAATCAGTTTTCAGTTATAAATTTAGGTATAGAAAATTTATATGCACTTTTTCTTGCAGTCTTTTTAAAACAGTGTCACTGTAGTTACAGGTTTACTCGAAAATCAACTTTATTCTCTTTCAAGCCAGATTTACTGGTAGTAAGCTAAAATAGATTAGAATAACTCCAATTTGTAAGATATCTTTGAACCGATATGACTTCTATGGTTTCCCTAAAATGTAAACCATTCAAACTCAGACCTCAAGTTTTTATCTAAAGCAGACACTCTAGTTTTTTGCACATAGAGGTTGAATTTCTATGGTCCAACTCTCACATCCATACATGACTACTGGAAAAACCATAGTTTTGACTAAACAGACCTTTGTCAGCAAAGTGATGTTTCTGCTTTTTAATATGCTGTCTAGTTATGCCATAGCTTTCTTTCCAAGAAGTGTACTGTGCTGTGCTAAGTCACTTCAGTTGTGTCCAACTCTTTCAGACCCTGTGGACCGTAGCCTAACAGGTTCCTCTGTCCATGGGATTCTCCAGACGAGAATCCTGGAGTGGACGGCCATACCTTCTTCCAGGGTATCTTCCCAACGCAGGGATCAAACCCATGTCTCTTTTGTCTCCTTCATTGGCAGGTGGGTTTGTTACCACTAGCACCACCTGGAAGCAAATGTTTTATAATTTCATGGCCACAGTCACCATCCTCAGTGATTTTGGAGCACAAGAAAAGAAAATCTGTCACTGCTTCTACTTTTTCCCCTTCTATTTACCATGAAGTGATGGGACCAGATGCCATGATCTTATTTTTTGTTTAATGTTGAGTTTTAAGCCAGCGTTGTCACTCTTCTCTACAATAAATTTATTATGAATTCACTTGATAGTTGCTCCAGGTTTTTTATATACAATATTACAAGTTGCTACAAATAGATTCTTTTATTCTAATGATAACTTTCTTTAAGAATAAAATGTTACTGCGTTTTTGTGAGAAATTGGGTTGCCTATTAATATCAAAAACTGCTTTTATTTACAGTTTGAAAATAGATTCAGATGAGTAATTTAATTTTTTGAGTATTAATCCAGAAACTAATTAGAGCATTGTTCAGAGAAATATTACTCTTACAAGAAGAATTTTATTTTTGGAAACACATTTTGGGAAAAGCATTTAAACTATAATTATCAATATATTATCCAATGCTTTATTTTATTATTTGAAAAATAACCTAGATCATGCCTGAAACCTTAGAGAAAATTCAGATTCACAGGAATAGAGAAAATGTCTCTGTAGGAAAATTCACAAATAGTAGGTGAATTCAGAGAACCGACAAAGGGAGACCTGTAATATAAAATGTATAATTGGAAATACTGGTTGGAAATTAACATTAATTTAGCTTGAAACAAAACAGCCCCATGCTATAAAAAATAATCAATATGCAGAGTGTTAAATTGGAGAAGGAAATGGCAACCCACTCCAGTATTTTTCCCTAGAGAATCCTGTAGACAGAGGAACTTGATGGGCTGCTGTCCACGGGGTCGCAGAGAGTCAGACACGACTGAAGTGACTTAGCATGCATGCATGCATTGGAGAAGGAAATGACAACCCACTCCAGTGTTCTTGCGTGGAAAATCCCAGGGACAGAGGAGCCTGGTGGGCTGCTGTCTATGGGGTCGCACAGAGTCAGACACGACTGAAGCGACTTAGCAGCAGCAGCAGCAGCAGAATGTTAAATGCCTATGAAATAAAAATAAGTCATTTAACTTTTGGGTGCTGTCCAACCAAAGGTCAATGATACTAGTAACAATATTCTCCAATTAAAAATAGCTTTCAAAGAAAAGCTCCACATAAACTACTTTTTCCTATAACACTGATAAGTAGGGTACTAGAGTTATTCTCACAGAGCAAATTTTAAAGATTCTGATGCTTTACTATCCAAAGCTGGTAGAAACAGTGAGGTTTAGAACCTGGATTTCATATTTTCTTGTTTAGAAATGATTGGGCCTTGCACTGGTGCTTCTGTAAAAACAAAATCAGTAATCACCGAATTTAAAATCTCTAAGCAGGATCATGGACTGCTGGCCGGGCTGCACTCAGTCTTGGCCAGGCTGTGGCTGGATCACTCTCGGGCTGGAAACGGTTGAGCGCGCTGAGGCCGAAGGCGACGGTCAGGACCGGCCGGCACGGTGAGGGAAAAGACGGATGCCCGCGCACTCACAAGGCAAGCACCTGCCGCAGCATCTTCCACCGGGTCCAGCGACAAAGGAAACATCGCACCGCCTCCTCTCGTCACAACAGCCTCAGGATCGCCCACCTCGGGGTCCCAGCACTGCCCACCCCGGTGGTCCCCATCATCCCTCCCACTTTCGTCGACCCTTCTTCTGGAGCTGTGAGGGTGCTTCCCAGGCTCATCTCTTTCCACTTTCTCACACATAGCAGCACGTGCTCCAAGACAGCGAATTCTTGAGCTGCCGGCTTCCTGCCACTGCACAAGCCTGCTCGTGCCCACTCTTCTTTGCCAAGTCTCCATATCCATGTGACTCATCGGCCACCCACCCATTCTGCCGCGTCCCCCAGCCTCCTCGATGGCCAGGGCGGAGCCAGTCCGCCGGTGTGGATTCCTCTTTGCTCTGATCAACTGCGGTTCCTAACTGTTGCTTTAGTCTCTTAAGTCCTGTTCGAGTGAGTGACTCTTTTGCAACCCCATGGCCTGTAGCCTGCCAGGCTCCTCTGCCCATGGGATTTCCCAGGCAAGAATACTGGAGTGGGTTGCCATTCCCTTCTCCAGGAGATCTTCCCCACCAGGGATCCAACCCGTCTCCTCATTAGCAAGCGGATTCTTTACCATTGAGCCACCTGGGAAATTCCGCAGTCCCTAACTAGAGCTCAGTAAAAATGGAACTCCATAAAAATGTTAATAAGTATTGGACTAGAGGAGGTCAGTATGTAGTAGGGAAAAAAAGAAAGAAGCTCTTTAAAGAGGAGTCATTTTTTGGTAAGAATTTTTTCCCCATCTCCTCCCTTGACAAGGAAATGGAGGAATAAGTACGATGAAGATGAAGGCCAAATAAATAAGGGACATTTTAGAGCTGAAGAGACTGGTGGAAGGTGGACTTGACAAGGTAACTTTGAACTTGTTACAGTATCTTCCACTTAACGGATTTTGTTTTGATGACCTGAAGCAGAGAGGGCTGTGCTGCATTTCTGAGCGTTCAAATGCACTCGCTGCTGCTGCTGCTGCTGCTGCTAAGTCGTTTCAGTCGTGTCCGACTCTGTGCGACCCCATAGAAGGCAGCCCACCAGGCTCCCCCGTCCCTGGGGTTCTCCAGGCAAGAACACTGGAGTGGGTTGCCATGTCCTTCTCCAGTGCATGAAAGTGAAAAGTGAAAGTGAATTTGCTCAGTCGTGTCCGACTCCTAGCGACCCCATGGACTGCAGCCTACCAAGCTCCTTTAACCATGGGATTTTCCAGGCAAGAGTACTGGAGTGGGGTGCCATGGCCTTCTCCTATAGGTACTCAATCCTCTGTGCTCTTCAGAGCTATAAAAACAGAAACAATGTTTATAATTTTTTTCTATAAGTGCTGCATATAAATATAGCATTTATTATCTTTGAAAATTTATCTCTGTTCATAAAATCTAAATTTTCAAAGATTAAATGTAACTTTTGAATACTTTATGGTTCTTATTAGTTCTTACCATCAATATCTATTAGTTCATCTACCCTGATCCCCTCAAGTTCAACAACATGCCCCTTCTCTACTCACTTCCTCACCACACCTTCTGATACTGATAACCGTTTCTGTCTGCCTTCTGAACTGGATAGAATGAAGGATCCCTGGGCAGAGTCCATATTGTCTAAATTTGTGTTATTGGCTCTTAGTACCTAGCAATATATCTGTGAAGCAAAATAAACTAAATTCTAGGCCAGATTTTCTTTTGGAACAGGAGAATGTATCTATTACAAGCACCTCAGTCATTGGCTTAGATACTGAAATTGTTCTTTGTGGCGGATGCAATATGTCTCTCTTTCTGTTTGTCCTGTGTCCATTCTTACTGTTTTCCAAATATCTCTGGGAGTCTGACCCTTGCCTGGACCTCTTCGCCTCACTCTCCTTACCTTTTCTGCCGCTTGCAGGCAGTCTGACACTTCTCATTCTGTCCTGCACTTCTGTAACAAGTACTATGATTGGGTTTTAAATTTTTTTTCTCTTCTTAGTTCTTTTTAGGAATCTAGGTCCATAGATTGCATGGGCATGTGTGAAAATTTTAAAGAGATGGTTGTAAAAATGAAGGGCCTTGTAAAAACATGCTTCTTCAAAATAGTTAACAGACACTATTTATTGTCCACATATTGTGTGGGAGGCTTTGGAATGGGCAGAAGTAGTCCATATTCTCAGACAGTTTACAACAGTGTTAAAATGTTGGGTTTCAGCTGATGGCCCATAGGGACAAACTGAAGGAATCTCAGTCTATGAGTGATACAACAAGATTTATATTCTAGGAAGAAAGGGTTTGCTTCAATTAAAGAATTATCTGGAAGATGCAAAACAGAAGATGAGACTGCCAGTGTAGAGGCTAACTGAATTAGTTTCAGGAAAAGATTATGGCTCAAGGAATAATAAAGGAGAAATAGAGAAGATTGAAAGGATGTGAGAGTTACACAATTGGCCCTCTGTATCCATAGCCATGGATTCAATCAACTGCAGGTTGAAAATATTCAAAAAAAATTTTTTTCAGAACATTCCAAATAACGAAACTTGAATTTGCTGCATACAGGCAACTATTTACAGAGTATTAATATTGTATGTGGGCATCCCTGGTGGCTCAGATGGTAAAACATCCACCTGCAAGGCTGGAAACCTGGGTTCTCCCTGGTTGGGAAGATCCCTTGGAGAAGGGCACAGCTGTCCACTCCAGTATTATTTGTGTAGTATTTACATTGTATTAGGTACTAGAAGTATCTAGAGATGATTTAAAGTATGCAGGAGGACTGCATAGTTTACATGCAAATACCATGCCTTTTATATAAAGGACTTGAGCATCCACAAATTTCTGTATCTGTGGGGGTCCTCAACCAATCCCCTGCAGATACAAGGGATAACTGTACAAGAAAAAACAGATAGGACTTGGTGATTATCAAATGTGAGTGTGTGCACTGAAAGCAAAGCATGGTAATTCTTGAATGGATGAAGAAAATCTGTTTTATATATATATATATATGGATTTTACTTAACCATATATATGGAAATTACTTAACCATATATATGGAAATTACTTAACTATAAAAAAGAAAGAAATAATGCCATTTGCAGCTACATGGATGGACCTAGAGATTATGATACTAAGTGAAGTAAGTCAAAGAGAAAAACCATATAACTTATATGTGAAATATAAAATATGACACAGATGAACTTATCCAGGAAGCAGAAATAGACTCCCAGACAGAGAGAGCAGACTTGTGGCTTCCAAGGGAGAGGGGAGTAGGCGGGGACTGGATTGGGAGTTTAGGATTAACAGATGCAAACTGTTGTATATAAAAGGGGTGAACCACAAGGTTTATAATGTATAGCATACGGAACTATATTCAATATCTTGTAATAAACCATAACATAAAAGAATATGAAAAATTATATATGTATACATATATATCAAATCACTTTGACCTACACCTGAAACTAACACATTTGTAAATCAACTATACTTCAATAAAAATAGAGTGAATAGAGATTGAAAGTGTAGTGTAAGTTAGAGGAAGAAAAACATGATTGAAAACTGAGAATTAATTAAGAGTTAAAACTTAGTTGACTAGAAATTTAATAGCACAAAGTTTGTTAAGTCCTTAAACAGGACCAGTCATTATGAACAAACTGTGAGGCAGGAAAGAAAAGGTGTCTCTTAGTGCCTATTTCTGAGCACAGAGAAATGGAGAATAGATATCAGATGATATTAAGTGCCAGACTAGGAGCTGAGGTCTTGAACAGCATCCATCACAAGAGAGCTGCCAAGTACACTGGACTTCCCTGATTGGGAGGGTCTAAGTCCACTCAGTGAGGTCAACAGTACGTCATTTTGTTCCAGTCACTATTCAACAAAATTATTAACAAACTGAAGGAAGAAAATACAACATTTCAGAAATTTAAAAAGTGACATTTTAGATCAAAGAAAGACCTAAAATAGGTACAAGCTAAGTTTATAGACAGAGGTAAATGGAAAGCTCTCAACTGTGAAATTGCCATCATTTTTCCAAAACATGGTAGCCTTTAGCACTGTAAATTGCCACCTAGTACTGCCTGAAAGGTTAATTGTTTTAACAAAAGCTAGTCAGTCTGTTCTTCGGGAACCTTGCTTCTACCCAAATAATGCCTGAAGATCTGAAAGGCCAGAGGAGATATTTTAAATAATAGAAACAGAACATACTATCCATATAAAGTATGCCTGAACATTGGGAGTTAAACTAGAGATTATGCAACAATATTAGGCCAGTAAGGTTGTTTTGGGCTTCCCCAGTAGCTCGGTGGTAAAGAATCCACCTGCAATCCAAGAGATACAGGAATTGCAGGTTGGATCCCTCGGTCAGGAACATCCCCTGGAAGAGGGCATGGCAACCCACTCTAGTATTCTTACCTGGAGAATCCCATGGACAGAGGAGCCTAGTGGGCTACAGGGTTGCAAAGAGTCGGACAGAACGGAAGCGACTGAGCATGCATGCACACAAGGTTGTTTTAAAATAGTAGAATATATTTTATAGGCTCATAATAGTTGGTAGAAACAGATTTTTTCATTAAAAGATTACTGAATCTAATTTTCTCCCCCATTAGAGTATATTTGCAGCTATTTTTAGTCATCAATTAATATGGGGATGTAAAAATCCCTCTCTTTCATTTAAGAGGATGTTTCCTTGCTGGTAATAATGAGATAAACGTAGCTAACATAAACAGAATTCTGATTTATGATACTCACCTGAGGAGGCTCTCTGAACCTTAGATTCTCAGGAGTTCTATCAATTGGTACAACTCTAGTCCTCAACAGAGCAAGGGATTTCAGCTCTGAAGATAGGAGTTTGATGGACATCTGGTCAAGGATCTCTCAACAGAGATGTAAAAAAATATTACTGATGTGGCTGAAATTCCTCCAAACTTTGCTATTCAATCATAGCTTTTCCCAAAAGTGTCCCCAGACAGCCTCTTTTTTCTTTCTTTCAAAGTTAGGAATGTAGGACACCAATTTCTGGTGCCTTTTACATGTGGCAACAGAAGTGTGCCATTTATATGTGAGACAAGTTAGAGTCGGAAGAAAATAGGACTGGAAACGTGGAAAATGAAAGTTGCCCCATTGCCACCATTTGCACAGAATTTTGGTGCAGGGACGTCTCCTTCATTGTGATGGGCAATTATGCCATTGGATAGAGAGCTTACAGAACTAGGTGAAATAGAAGCAGCATCGATTTTGAGTCACCACTAAGGATTGGGAGTCAGGACTGATACAAGGTGTCATCATAAAAGAGATTTGTAACTGTGTGTAAATCCCTTTGCCTCTGTAGAATTCATTCTCCTTCATG